TATCCCTAGAATCTGGGAGAGAAAATTAGGATTAGATTCTTCTCTTTAATTGGTGATGTTTCATGAAGTTAGAATCTAGATTACAGAAGAGATATCTAAATTCTCCATTAGATGTCCCTAAGGCCTGGAATATGGGTGGAGGGTAGGGAGAAAGGAACTGGATAGGTCATTATCTCCCTTTCCTATTTTACCACCACTACTGAAGTTACCGGCTCTCCAGACTGCTGAAAACCGAGTGAAATTGTCATTCAAACCCCCTACACTGGTAAACGTATCATTGATCTCAAGTTACTGCTGCTGTTACTAGATAACTAATGCATTATCAGTGTTTGCTTGAAATGGAAGATGTCATGTATGACTTCCAAGTCAGTTGCTTGAGCAACTTTACCATTTGCGCAGTCAAAAAGCTTCTATTATGTAAATGTTTACTCTGTGTCAGAAGCGATGCTAGGCATTGGAGATGCAAAAGTCAATAATGGAGACTTGGTACCTGACCCGTGTTCATAGAGGACACAGATACAGGCAGTTTGCATAGAGTGTGGTATGTTATGACGAGATACTTAAGGCACACCTGCAAGGGTCACGTTGCTCAAAGTTGAGGTGGTTAGAGAAATTTCCAGGAGAAATTTTATTAAAACTTGATTGTGAAGGATGAGTAGGAGTTAGATAAACAGCAGGCAAGCAGGGCGGAATGCTGTGAGAATTGAAGTTGGAAAGGTCCTCATGGGCTAGGAGCAGTGGATAGTAGTCATATTCCCTTTTTTGAAGGGAATGATGCAATTCTGTTTTGTGTTTAGAAAGATCTCTATAGCCATAAAGAATGGAATAGGCAAAATGGGGCTGGAAGTTGGGATACCAGTTGTTGTTGTTGTTTTTTTTTTTTTTTTTTTTTTTTAGCAATCCAGACCATTGTTTTGATCTTTGAAGCCCACCACCCAGCTTGTAGGATTCACATTGATTCCCTCTTAGCCCATTTTAAAACTTCTTGTTTCACGTTGTTCGTTGAGTTACAGTATATAGAAGTCAAGAGCTCTTTGAGTCTCCCACGAAGATACTGTTGGTCATCCCTGGCTCCGTCCTACCTGAAATCTTGATTTGTTAGCACCTCATTTTATAAGAATAGAGCCACAGAGATTTGATTTTAGAAAAATTGATGTTATTGAGATTTAATTGAAATACAACAAATTAGAGGTAAAGTATACAATTTGATAAATTTTGACACGTATACACCCATGAAACTATCACCAATAGCAAGACAGTGGTCATATCCATTAGTCTTGAGTGCCCTTCCTAGTCTTCCTCCTCTTGCCCTTCCCACTCCCTTCCCCCAGGCAACCACTGATGCGTTCTGTCACAACACATTTGTTTGAATAGTTCATAATTTTATGCCAGTACCACACTTTATTGATTACTGAACTTTTTAATCTTGAAGTCAGGTAGTGTTAGCCCTCCAACTTGTTCTTTTTCACAGTTGTTTTGGCTATTCTAGATTGTTTTTGTTTCCATGTGAAATTTGGGGTCACTTTGTCAATTTCTAAAAAAAAAAAAAAAAATAACCTGCTAGTGTTTTAACCAATACTGCATTGAATCTATACATCAATATGGAGAGAACTGACATCTTTACAGTGTTGAGTCTTCCAACCCATGAACTTGTTATATTTCTCTGTTTAGGTCCTCTCTAATGTCTCTCAACAACGTTTAGTAGTTTACAACGTACTGATATTTCACGTTTTTGTTAGATTTAACACTAAATATTTTATATATTTGGATACCATAGTAAATATTTAGTTTTGATTTGCAGTTGTTTATTGCTAGTATATAAAAATGCAGAGATCTTTTGTCCTGCAACATTGCTAAAATTATTTATTAGTTTTGGTAGCTTTTTGGTAGATTCCTTTGGAATTTCTACATAGAAAATCATATCATCTGCAAATAAGAGTTTTAATTTTTTTTTTCAAAATGGATGCCACATTTTTTCTTGCCTAATTACGCTGGCTGGAACCTCCAGTACAACATGGAATAGAAATGGTAAGAACAGAAAGTCCTCCCTCTGTCACCAATTAAGTATGGTGTTAGTTGTAATTTTTTTTTTTTTTGTAGAAACCCCTTATTAGGCCAAGGAGGTTTTCTTTGCTGAGTTTCTATCAGGAATAGACGTTGGATTTTGTCAGATGCTTTTTCATCTACTGAGATAATTATACAGTTTTTCTTTCAGTTTGTTAAAGTGGTGGATTGTATTGACTGACTTCAAATATTTAACCAACCTTGTATGCCTTGGGTAATCCCAACTTGGTCATAGTGTATTATCCTTTTTATACATTATTAGATTCAGTTTGCTGAAGTTTTATTTAGAATGTGTTCATGTGGTGGTCTTTTCTTGTAATACCTTCATCCTGTTTTAGAATCAGAAATGCTGACCTCACAGAATGAGTTGGGGTGCGTCCCATTTTCTGGAAGAATGTGAAGAATTGGAATTATTCTTTTTATTCCTAAATGTTTGCTATAATTTACCACTGTGGCCACCTGGGGCTTCAGAGTTTCTGTGTGTCTTTGCCCATTTTTTTTTCTAGTCACTCTGGCTAGTGATGTATCAATTGTATTGATCTCAAAGAATTAGCTTTTGATTTCTGTGTTTTCTGTTTCCCATTTCATGGTTCCTGCTCTGATATTTATTTTTTAGAACATATTTAGGTTCACAGCAATATTGAAAGTAAAAGTACAAAGATCATTACTTGGAGATCTTTCTACTTTTCCGATAAGGGCATTTAGTGCTGTAGATTGATTTCTCCATAAGTACTGCTTTCGCTGAGGCTCCGCAGGAGAGGGCCCCCTCCTTCCTGTCAATAACACAGAGCTTTCCAGTGTTGTAATTTTTTGTCTGCTAAAATAAGAATCATAAAGTCGATGTCTGCAGGGACAAAGGAGAAGGTTTAAACACAACATCTCCGTTTCATTTGCATGCTTGTACTAAGTAGGGAAGGAAGCTGTCAGATGTTTTGATTCAGGAAAATATCTTTTTGACAAAGCCATCTTGTCGATTACACACGACAGGTTATTTCTTTGCTTTGTTTCACTGACAAGATCTATCCAGTCAATATTAATAATGGAAGGGAAGTCTTAATGAAAGGAAAACTACTTTTATCTGTGAATCATTAAACAATATCTTATCCTTGCCACATTTCCGCAGTTCTGCGTAAAGGCTAAGATGATACACCCAATTGCTCTTATGATTTAGGTTTTTTTTCTAAAAAAGTATATGGCATTAAATCACATCTTTGTTTATATTTCAGTGTTATGCAGAAACCTGCCTTCACTCAAGTTTGGATGGTCTTTTAGTCTTTTAGAACCAGTATAAACCAACATCAGGGATCCACAGAAATAGTTAACCTTTAACATTTTGCCCTATTAAGCACTGTTAGCTACTGATACACTAAAACCCTGTGCAATATGTCTTTTAATTCCCATTTTACAGGTAAGAAAACTAAGATTTAGAAAATGGTCTAAGGTCCCACACTAAGTGGTAGGGTTGGAGCTCTGACTCAGTCTCCAGTGATCGGAAGCACATTACACACCCTCCTTCTATATTATTTCGAGTATGTTTGAAAGAACACCTTGTAATGGTTATTAAACGGTAGGGCTCTGAACATCTCGATTCAGGATATGACTGGATGAGTTCACCAAACCAAGCTAGGTGAATAATATAGTAGTTAAGAAAATAAATTCTTGGTTACAGCTCTCCTTGCTAAAAACCTGCTCCTCAGTCTTCTCTCTTCTCCCAAATTCCATGGGGCTGCAGCCTTCCCCAGCGTGGCCTGTCTCCTTCTAAAATGTACTTTCAATAAATCTTACCTTAAAAAAAAAAAATTAAACACTTTGCTACGGTGTAAAATCTGAACGTTACTTAAGAGGGAAGGGGCAAATACTGAATTGGAGGCAACCGTGGTAGTATAGAAAGAGAATGGGTTTAGATCTCTGTTACTAAGCCACTTAAAAAAGTTATTTAACCTCTTTCAGCTTTAGACTTCTCATGTTAAATGGAGATTTTTCTCCTGTTAGGATTAAAGATAAAGCGTTCAGCACAGTGCCAAACTTGTCGTGGCTGGTCAGTAGCCTGTATTTGTTGGAATCCTTAATAAAAACTACTTTTTGAGGCATTAAGTTCGTTTTTGGATACCACCCACCCCCATCCATCACCAAGATTAAGTTCTTCTGCTAAGTATATAGCGCTGAGTTCCTTTCAGTAAAGGCAGTTATATTTTGAAATCACGTTTAATCATGTGATCACCTAGCTTGGTTTGGTGAACTCATCCAGTCATATCCTGAATCGAGATGTTCAGAGCCCTACCGTTTAATAACCATTACAAGGTGTTCTTTCAAACATACTCGATGATAAGTTACACTAGATGCTAAGTTCCCTGCAATCAGAAGAATCAGGTCTGACTTTTCTCCCCACTGTCCCCTCTCTGTACAGTGCCTGCCATACAATAGAGCTTTAGTAAATGTTGAATGGATGAATTCTTAATAGCTGATACCGTGATAATGTGACTGCATCAAAGTAGTGATGCTTTTCTTTGGTGACTTTGAGATAATGATATGTGACTGCATCAAAGTAGTGATGCTTTCTTTGAAGAATTAAAATAACATGTCCTATGGTCTGTGTAAAATATCAGTATTTTAACCCATCAGTCTCATGTGGCCACACCTTGGTATCATGCTGATTGAACTTCTTAGAAATAGAGCACAGTAATATATTTCATTACATTTAGCATTATTATGTATTGGTTTCAGCTTGACTACTTATGATTTGAATTACTCATACTGCGCCCTAACTGCTGTATTATGCAGAGTTCATTTTCAGTTTTTGGTTACTTACATCACTTTGCAAGAAATACGGTTGTTTCATGAAACTCTTACAGCTTTAAGAAAGTAAAAATATCAGGTACCTTCCCATCTTCAAACTACTATCCACATAAACATTTTCATTTGATTTCTCTTTGAAGGGAGAAGATGTCAACCGGACACTAGAAGGTGGCAGAAAACCTCTTCATTACGCAGCAGATTGCGGGCAGCTGGAAATCCTGGAGTTTCTGCTGCTGAAAGGAGCAGATATTAACGTATGTAAAGAGCATCGTCATTCTAGAAAAAATTCCTGTTGTATGCTTTGGGTAGTTATTTTCTAGAGATTTAGAAAATAGTTAACTTGTGGAAACTTTATTTTAAATAAGAATATAGTCTGAAATTATACCAAACTTTCCGTGACTTAGAAATACATCGTTGGGATTTTTAAGAATAAGCAGACAAACCTTTTCAAACCGAAGTTCAGGATGTTTCCCCCTTGGCTGTTGTTTTTCAAGTTCTAAAGCAAGTTGAGATTTAGCACTATCTGTAGATAGTAAATGGCTATCACCCGATGGAGCAAAGGACGTTGCAGTCATATAATAAATCTAAACTGGATTTTTGGACAAAGATCAGTAGACAAGCGGTCAGACGGGCAGTCAGCTCCTGACTCTTGCCTTTTATAGCTTCTGCACTTCAGAGTTTGGGGAAAAGGTTTAAGTACCCATGTCAACAAGTGAGATGAACTTTTCACATTTCAGGGCATACCATGTCACCTGGCCTGAGTGTGACAGGACTTCATGGCATTTCTACACTAGTGGGGAGTAGAGACGCAGAGGTAAACTAGTTACACAGTAAGTGGCAGAGCCCTACTCCACTCCACTGACTCCCAAGGAGAAACACTGCTTGTGGGCTTGGGCCTCTGGAGACTAGAGACTTGTAGCTGGGAAGCGCTTTTGTATAGAAAGGCAGATAGTTAAACACTGACTTTAATGTAGTCACAGGAGTCCTAATTAGATTGGGAAAGAAGGAAGAAATGAAAGCTAGATAAGGTGGTTTATCTCCTTTATTATTTCACAGGCTCCGGATAAACATCATATCACCCCTCTTCTGTCTGCCGTCTATGAAGGTCATGTTTCCTGTGTGAAATTGCTTCTCTCGAAGGTGAGCTCAATTGCTGATTTTCATTGCTTTTTCTATGATTGTGTAAGTTCAGTATTCGGTTGTTAATTTAAGTTTTGTTGGACATCAGGGACAGAAAGCTGGAAGTAGTATTCAAAACTGAAGTCTAGAACATTGTTACCCAAAATAGCTGATCTGCTGTTACCAGTTCATGATGGGTAAGGAGCTTGGACTGGAATATAAATGAACCCAACTCTCCATCAAGAATAGCTTGCTATGGGGTAAAAAAAAAAGGTTAGCCGAACTCAGCATTATACTTGATGTAGAAAATGTTGTCTTGGACTAGTAAGACTTTGCAGACTGGTACTAGCCCTAGTTTGAAATTTGTAAACTTTTTCTGTAGTACATACTGAGCAAGTTCATTAGAAGAAGCAGTTTGCTATAAGTGAGGGCTCTCCAGGTCGCCTGCTTTCTTGATATTATTGAGATCATGGTGAATCTGGAGTTTCCAGTGTTTTGTCTTTGCTATAGTAAGCTCTTAGATGGAGTTCAGAATCCAGCCTCAGGAATTAGTGAACCAGTTGCAACCATTCTAGCTGTGTTAGGACCTGCAAATGTTAGGAGACAAGAAATCTTAATAAGGCACAGATGTTAATCCCAAGCTTATTGTTTCATGGCCATACTCTAGGAAGTGAAGTGTTATTTATAACATTTCATTTAGCATTGTAAAATAAGCCCTGCTAAAAGAAAAATAGAAATTAAATGAATAAATGTATATAAAGCATTTTGCCACAGTGCCTGGCACATAAGTGTTGAATAGCTTTTCTTATGACTAAGACTGAAGAGGATTTTATGCTTCACAGAATGCAGATTTAAAGAAAATTGGGAGAGAAGGTAGTACATTTGTCTTGTAATACTTTGAGAACTTTTTAAAGATACTGTTCTGAAAACAGTTAATTCAGGTCCTCTAAAACTAGGGTTTTTTACCCATAGCTTTATGTTAAACACAATTACTGGATTTCTTTAAATGTGTGGTTTTGCTAGTTTTGATATGTATCAACAGTAATTTTTAGGTACTACATACATACCATACTGGTGTAAGTGATGCATTTCTTCAAAAGCCAGTATAAAAGTATTTTTTTGCCCCTGGAATAAATTCAGAGTGCGTGGTGGGTGAGCTAGCAAAGGTTTCCAGTCACTGTCTCCCCCACACTCATGAACAGATTAAAAACCTTTGTAAACTAAATATTTTCATCCCTGGGGGAATATTTTTACTTACTATATTAAAAAGTGGTTCTCGCAGGCTACAAATATTGATTTACAGTTCATGAAAAATTTATAGAATTCCAATATTTTATTAGGACACTTTGTGTTGCAAGTAAAGAGATTTTGTTGATGCACAGCCCAGCCCCAGGTTTAAGCCACAGGACCAGGCTCTGATTTCCTTTTGCCTCTCAGCTCTGTTCTTCAGCATGGAAAAAAAAAAACAGATAAAAATACCATAATGTATATTTGAAAGTTGCTAACAGAGTAGATCTTAAAACTTCTCATCATACACAAAAAAACTAATGATGTGAGGTGATGGACATTAACTAAACTTATTGTGATAACCAGTGTATACAAATATCAAATCGTTGTGGGGTATGCCTTAATGTTACATGTCAATTATAGCTCAATTTAAAAACATTTATAAATCGGGATAAAAACAAAAATTGATTTCTTCATTCCTGTTTTTTTCTTTCCCTTACCTTTTCTACCCAGCCAAGGGTTTTGTTCTCTGAAAACAAAAAACTCTCCTAGGTCCTTAGGTTCTGATACTTACTAAATGAAATGCCCCTAAGCATGCTCTTCTTAGCCGTACCTCAAACTCTTAGAGCCGAACAATCTTTCTGATATACCTCTCTTTCTGTAGGTCAAACAAAATAAGACACAATTATTCTTGGGCCAAAGAGGGCCTGAATCATTCATTGTTCTATAAACTTGATGTTCCAGGTCACTGATACCCTGTGATTATGAGATTCCATTGTTTAAGAATCTTCTGGCTTGATTTGCAGGTACATTAGGTCCCATTATGTTATCCTAGAAGGGTCTCTATAAATATGTACTCTGTGCTCAATTATTGGTTGTAAGTTGTACTTTTAACTAGTTTTTCTTTCACTTGTAGCTGTAATATTGTTCTTTTGTGTCTGAGCCTTGATTTTTATAGCTAAGTCAATGACATTCAAAGATGGCTCTATTGATGGCAGATCAATTTTAACCATGTAGAGCTATTATTTATTTTAAATGAAAGATTTTTAACCTTTATGAAAGCAGCCTTGTAAGATTTAGTTCTGCTTTTTCAAAATTAATTACTTTGATCTTATTGCGTAGGCTTCTTTTATGGATACCGTATAGTTTTGTTAGCCCATTTTTCTTTTTGAAATTGATTATACTCTTAAAAATTCATAGTTGCTAAAATAAGGCTGTTTCGGTGCTTTTTTTTTTAACGTTACTTTCACTGTATTATGAAGTCTGGTTCTGTTTTATCAAAAGTAGAATTCTTATGGATTATTATGAATTTATTTTAAAAGTACTTGAAGTTTACCAGATTCATTGACATTCCTAGAATATTATCCAGCTGGCATATCATTAACATAGGATAAAGGCCAAAATAAGAACTCAGTATTATCATAAGGGAAAAAGAAAAATCACAAAAAAACAAAAAAGTGTTTAATTTCAAATATTCTAGCAATCTTCTATGTAATATGCCATATTCACTTACTGCACAGATTTTTTTTTTTAATGTAATGCAATTGAAGGTGAAATTTCTAATGCAAGTAGGAATTTAAAGCACTTAATTTTTGATTGTCCATATAGCAAAGGTGTTAAATTTTTTATTTTTACTCCTGTGGAAAAATATTAAGCAGTCTGTGTATGTAATCTCCGTTAATTTCTCACAACTCAAATACATAGGTATAATCATCTCTATTTTATGGACAAGGGAACCATTTCTTTCAGGAAGGTGATTTATTCCAAGATTATGACTCAAAGTCCATGTTCTTTCTATAAAAGATTGCCTTTCAGAATTACTGTCAGGGACAGTTATAAGAAATGAAACATGTATATTTCTGTAGATAAAAGCTATTTGACCTGATTTTTAATTAGTGAGCTAGTAATGAAACAAATGCAGAGAACACAGGTGAGACTTCAAGATTGAGGTCTAAGCAAATGCCATGGTACCCTTCCTCCCCCCACTCCCCCAGTAGAAAAGATGTCTATAAAAATGAATGAATCAGAACCCATACGAAGGGTTTTGTTAGACAAAAAATTATAATGAATCCTTGAGATACAGAAAGCAGGAAGGATAGGGTTGAAAAAACATTCCCCAACATAAGCAACAGAGTATTTGTTGCAAAAGGCAGGAGCTGACCCAAGGCTGCTCCCAGCCCAGAAGTGGTCAGCACTCCCGAGCAGCAAGCAGGTGAATAGCGGGATGCACTTCAGAAGGAAGCAAATTAAACCCAAAGGGAAAGACTGAGAAGCAAGAAATTAGTAGGTGACTAGATCTAAACAAATATTACAATGCAAAGCAAACACTAAAGTGTATGTTTTTTAATAAGCTGGAACTACCGAATTGTTAGATGGAAGGGGGATGAGCAAAGCTCTTGGTACTTTCACCAAATCCAGAGTACATGAAGAACATTGCTAAAACTGGTAAAAAGAAATGAAATGGGTAAAAATGCAGGCTCGAGAAGCATCCTGGGAAATACAGCAGTAGCAGAGGAGTCAGAAGCGCAAGTAAGAGGGAGACCATATGGTCACTGTCATCATTTTGCAACTATAGCTCTAAGCTGCCATAGACAATAAATACAGAAACGAATGGGTGTGGCTGCATTCCAGCAAAACTTTACTTATGAAAAACAAGCTTCTGGGCCATAATTTGCTGACAGCTGCTCTGGCTCATGATTAGTTTGGAATTTATAGTGCATACCAGGCTCACAACTTCACTGCTCACTAGAAAAAATGATCCTAAGTGATACGAGTTGCGTGTGTATCATTCTGGATGCTTTTAATAGACTATGCTTATGCTTATTTGTTGAAACTTTTATTAATGTGCCAAACAAGAGCTTATAGGACAGTGATACGAAAGTTTCATCATTCATTACTCAGCTGGTCTCCTGATTAAAATCTCAGATACCTCAGTAATAGCAGTGTTGCATGAACATTTTGAGGAGTTAATCATGAAATGGTACTTTTGAACTATGGTACTTTTAGTCAGCGGACTTTTGTAAGTCCAAAATTTATTTTTCACATCTGCATGTATAATTTGATATCTTAATCAAGTTTCCATGCTTAAAGAAAATTCTATAAGAAAAATAAGTTCGCTTGTGGCATTAATACACTATCATGTTAGACATTTCCTAATAATATAAAGTATTAACATATATCAAAGTTTCTATAATATTAAAATTTCTTATAAATTATGTAATGTCTTATTTATATAATTGATAATAAAGGATTTTAAGAAGTCAAGTATCCTTGTTCTCTAATTGTAAGGAAAATCATTTCTAAGTAATCCACTATAGTATATTGTGGCGGAAGGGGACACATTTAAATATCTACTTCTCTTATTCTTTTAAAGATGTTAAGTTTGCTTTAATTTAAAATTTAGATAAGCTATGCCATTTACTCTAGTATGTGTTCATATTCCATCCCTTATGTGAAAAGTACTGCCTTAAAGATGACCACTCAACTTTCTGTATAAAAAATTCTTTCGAGTAGAAAGTTGTATCCCAGAATGAGAATCAAAATCTCATGAATTGAAAATTTAAAGTTTTAAAACATAATTACTATTTTATTATATTACAAAAATAAACTTGTATTTAAATTACAAACGGACATTTATTAGTGATGTTTAGCATACTAAACAGTATCTTGAGAGGGAACTGTTTTTCCTTCCTTTCCCTGCTTCATACTAGGTCAAAGAATTTATCTCCTTAGGAAGTCTCCTGTACCTTAAAACAACAAAAAATACATGGTCACTGGTTATGCAACTCATGTTG